GCTGTTCCTCCCTCCCATCATCAACATCCAAGTGATTTTTTTCCTTCCTATCCTTAAATCCATCTACCCATTTCTTTAACAGCCCAAGCTCAAATTACTTAAGCAAAAACTTCTACCTTGTATCTTTCCCACATCCACTCATACCCTCTATCTATCTCATCAAACCTACTGCATATTATAATTAGAATACACTGTTCCAAAACATCTATCTAGTTAAGTCACCCCTACTTAAAACACTTCAGAGCCTTTCCTTACCCTCTGGGTAAAGAATGAAATCCTTGACACGGGGTCTACAATACCAGGAAAGCACATATGGTGGTTTCCTCCTTTTTCTAACTTTACCTGGCACATTCTCAGCCCTACTCCTACGGTCATGCTCCACATTTCAGGCGCCAGCCTACTTCAGGAGCTTTACTGTGTCTCTCTCTCCTATTAGGATTCTCCCATGTGGTGTACTCTTTGCAATTCCCCACCTTCTTGTGCCCAGACAGCTCTTCCTTCCATGTGCCTCAGATCTTCTCTCCAATGTAATTTCCTTTGTTTTCCTAGACTCTCCTCGTATGTTTTATGGGTTGTATAGTTTGACTCTTCATTTTTAATTCATAAATCAGTTTGTGATGATGCATATAAGTGTAATCATTCCGTTTTTCTTCCCTATTTTACCACAATCTCCAAAAGAACAGTGGCCATGAGTCTTTTTGCTCCCTGCTATAACCCTCTCATTTACACACAGAACAATAAGATTATCTTTAATATTGCCTTTTTCTAAATAGTATTCATCATAAATCTATTAATTATATTTATATTCTTTACAAATATGAATCCATGCACTACGGTCTGTATTTAAAATGTAAAACAAAAACATTTAAAAATTAAAATAGCTTATTTATGGCTACACATATGATTTAGCAAGGCTAAATAGCTTACTTATGACTATACATGATTTCTTCAGGTTAGTAAGAACCCAATCTTTAATAATGACTGAAGTTTTTTAGTCTAAATTAACTTTTATTTTACCAGTAAATAACGAAAAGAATCATTTTAAATGCTATCATAATAAAATCCCTTATCCATAAAGTCTGTACAGTAGAACTTCTATAAATGGACCACCCAAAGGACTAGAACAAACTGACCCACACACTGAGGTGTTCAACATAAGGGGCCAGGATTCCCCAACTGACCTGTACACGTGGGGCATGGCCACGCTAGGAAAAACTGCAATTCCTGAGGGGAGGTGGTCAGCTCTGAAGGATCTACTACTGTATATAGATTCTTAGTCATCTGTTGTACAGTATTATTTGGGGCGAAAACTCAACATGCTCAATTTTTAAGATATCCATTACTTTCTATAACCATACATGCTTTCAAATTCTTAAGATATTCAACACATAAAAAGAACCAAATTATAAAGCTACGTGTCGTAATATTAACAACAATACCAAAGTTACCACATATTGGTTGCACACTAAGGGCAAGACCCTCTGATAGTGTAAGTTTCACATGTAAAAGCTTAGTTAACTATTTTAACAAAAAAAAAGTACATACTATTGTTATTCCCATTCTACAAAGAAATTACAGTACAAAAAGACATTAACAGTCCTCTCAAGCTCATGCACAAGGAGTAGATGGTAGCGATGAAAGTCGAATCAAGGCACTGTGACTCCAAAGCCTACGTTCATACTTTCTCACAGATTACCTAACTACTGACTAAAACATATGTATACACCAATGTACAAGATATGAGCAAGGTATAAAACAGAAGTTTTGAGTAAATTTCAACACAGACATTAAACTGAACCAAAAAGAGAGAGAAATATCTTACAGTTCACTTTCACTACTAAGAAAACTAACAAAAAGGCCTGAGTTCCTACAGGTTAAAGAGAACACTTTAAAAAAATCTAAGGGTAGCAGAAGTTAACAAATGAAAGACCATACCATGCTCAGGGCTGGAAAGAATCAACACTGTTAAAATGTCTGTACTACCCAAAGCGATATACAGATTTAATGCAATCCCCATTAAAAAGCCAATGTCATACTTTGAAGAACTTGAAAAAGGAGTTATTTCATATGAAACTAAAAAACCTCAAATAGCCAACACAATTCTAAGAAATAAAAACAAACCTGGAGGCATCAAGTTATCAGACTTCAGGTTATATTACAAGTCTATAGTGATCAAAACAGCATACTATGGGCATAAAAAGAGATATAGATGTATGGAATAGAACAGAGAACCGAGAGATAAAACCAACCTCATATCCCCAGCTGATCTTCGATAAACAAAAGCATACACTGGAAAAAAGAATCCCTACTTAATAAATGGTGCTGGGAGAACTAGCTAGCCATGACCCGCACCTCTCACCATTTACAAAAACTAACTTACACAGGATAAGAAATTTAAAACTAAGACACAAAAAGATAAAAACCCTAGATGAAAGTGTGGGAAAAACTCTGAATGATATCAACCTGGGGAGAGATTTTATGAAGACCCTATTGGCAACTGCAGCAACAACAAAAATAAATAAATGAGACCTGATCAAGCTTAAAAGCTTCTGCACAAGGAGGGACACAACAAACAAAGCAAACAGACAATCTTCAGAATGAGAGAATGAGATGAACCAGAGAACAAATGAATCCATGTTATGAATCTGACAAAGGCTTAATAACCAAAATGTATAAAGAACTCAAGCAAATCAACAAAAGAGCAAACAACTCCACTAACCACTGGGCAAGAAACATGAATAGAACCTTTTCTCAAGCAGACAGCCAAAAGGCCAAAAAACAGAAAAAAATGCTCATCATCCCCAATTATCAGAGAAATGCAAATCAAAACCATCTTGAACTATCACCTAACCCCAGGGAGAACAACTCACCACAAAGTCCCAAAGCTGCAGATGCTGGCATGGGTGCACAGTGAAGGGAACACTTCAACACTGTTGGTGGGAATGCAACCTAACACAGCCTGTTTTAGATAGAAATATGGAGAATCCTCAATAGGCTAAAAGTAGATCTTCCATTTGATCCCACAATACCTTTACTAGCTATCTATCCAAAAGGAAAAAATATCATTTTATCATAAAAACATCTGGGCCAGGCTCAGTGGTTCACACTTGTAATTCTAGCACTCTGGGAACCCAAGGCGGGTGGAGTACCTGAGCTCACAGGTTTGAGACCAGCCCTAGCAAGAGTAAGACGTCCTCTCTAAAAATAGCCTGGTGTTGTGGTGGGCGCCTATAATCCCAGCTACCAGGGGGACTGAGGCAAGAGAATCACTTGAGCCCAGGAGTCTGAGGCTGCTACAAACTACCAGACCACAGTACTCTACTGAGGGCAACAAATTGAGACTGTCTCAAAAAAATATAAAATAAAAAATAAAAACATCTGCACCAGAAAGTTCATCACAGCTCAATCATAAAGATGTGGAAACAACCCAAGTTCCCATCAACCCATGAATGGACTGATAAACTATCATATACGTATACCATGGAACACTACTACTCAGTGATTAATAAAGGAGACGACTTTACAGCTTTTGTATTACCTGGATGAATCTGGAGACTGTTCTCCTTAGTAAAGCATTTCAAGAATGGAAAAGCAAGGTCAGGCACACTGGCTCATGCCTGGAATCCTAGAAGGCCAAGGTGGGTAGATTGCCTGAGCTTATAGGTTTACAAGCCTTAGCAAGAGCAAGACCGTCTCTAAAAACAGCCAGGCATTATGGTGGGCACCTATAGTCCCAGCTACTTGGGAGACTGAGGCAGGAGAACCACTTGAGCCCAAGAGTTTGAGGTTGCTGTGAGTGCCATGAGGGCAACAAAGTAAGACTCTGTCTCAAAAAAAAGGAAAAAAAAAAATGGAAAAGCAAGCATCCTATGTACTCAATACTAACTTAAAACGAGTAGATGAACAACTGCAGGTCCAGACTAGAGAAAAACAATTAAATTCAAGAAGAGGGGAGGAGATTTAGTAAGCTCCCACCCAATGGGTACAATGTAGGGATATACAGCACCTGGTGGGTGAAGGACTCAACTAATAGAACTTGGACTTTACCTAACAAACACCAACAATGTAACCTAATTGTATGTACCCTTATATTAATCTGGGGGGAAAAGATTAAATAAATAAATCTAAGGGTAGAAATAGAAAAATAAAACAGTGACATAGTAACAACCCTAAATACCCTCCCCCAAATGGCTATAAGAAATTAACTAAATCATCACCTTACTTTTGTCATTATTTCTAAGATTACATTTCCAAATCCTTAATTTAAAATTAAAAGGTATAAACACATTAAAGGGTTAATATAAAATTTGCAATTACTATTTTAAAAAAATTTTAAACGCTCATTTATCAGTAGTGCACAACTTTTTTTAACCATGCCCTCTTTCATAAACAAAACATTTTATCTCCTCCCATTAAGATAAAAGAACATGGGCTGCAGCGCCTGTGGCTCAAAGGAGTAGGGTGTTGGCCCCATATGCTGGAGGTGGCAGGTTCAAACCCAACCCCAGCCAAAAACTGCAAAAAAGAAAAAAAAAAAAAGATTAAAGAGCATGCTTTATAGTTCTGGTGCCACCTCACAGAGATTTATTCCTCATACTGGCTAGACAAGGGGGCTAGTCAGAGCTTTTTCCAACTTCTTACATCCTGTCTACCTTCATTCTCAAGTGAAAATCACTTGCAATGGTAACAATAATCTTTGGTAAACTCTGTCCTCCTTGTGAAATCTCACATCCTATTGTCCATGGTAGAGGTCAGCAAACATTTTCTGTAAAGAGTCAGACGGTAAATACTTCAGGCTTGGAGGATATGCAGTATCTGCATCACATTTTCAGCAGCTCTTTAAAAACGAAATAACCATCTTTATCTTGGAGGCCTTATAAAAATAGGTCTTATACGCATGATTTACTTATAATAGACACAGTTTAAGGACTGCTGATTGGGAAGGATAAGGAAAGAAACTGCTCGTTGAGGGGTTTATTATTCTCCATCTTTGAGTAAACCAGTTTCTGGTTACTATGCTGCTTCATACAGCCATCCTTTCTGGTCAAGAAAATTTTGCCATTATCAGTGGAAAGTATTGTAAAAAGATGTCATCAGTGGGAAGAAAATATATAAAGGATCTGGAAACTCCTGCATACTACCAGACCTGATCATTAAGAACTTCTCTACTCAATTTTTAAAGATATGATCAATAATTTAGAATAAGAAATTTCAAGTCAAAGGGCAAGGTTTAAACTTGCTAAGTCTGAGCTTCAGTGTCTTCATCTGTATGACTGGGATTGCAACAGTCACCACCTCTGAAAGCAGTTATAAATTATTAAATTATGTAAACCATATGAAGTTTTGGCATTGCCCCTGACACAGAATTATTACTTTACACTCTTTATTATATACTACATATTAACATTTTATGTTGAAAAAAACCTTTTTAGACCTAAATACGAAAAAAAATTAGATACTTTTAAAATGATCTTTGCAAAGTAAAGTTAGATTAATATAGTCATTTCAACTACTTACTACTTGAGACTGAGAAATGCCACTTTTTCCTCTAGCAGAATAATTTTTTATGAAGATAAGATGCATCTATGTTTGGTACCAGTATGATTTGTTTGACTAAGCTATTTACTTCATTCCCCTTGTCTTGAACATCAATTTGGTTCTAAAAAATTCAATTTTTCAGATGTGCTCACATCCTATTCTCACAATTTTGTGTTATGCAGGGATGGTGTCCCAATAGTCACCCCTAAAGTTGCCGTAAGTAGGGAAAATGGTACGCTGTAACTAGATGTACCTTAATTTACAAAATATTTGTTACAAAATTTTACAAAGAGGTGGCCAACACATGAAGAATACTTTGTAAAATTTAGTTAATGAATATTTTGTAAATCAAGGTATGAACTTCCATTTTCCCTAAGTATGGTGACTGTAGGGGTGACTTTTGAGACACCTTGTAGTTTAAATTCTAAAAGTCCAGCTTAAAGGAATACAGTTCTTATTTTATATCTATTCTAGCAAACTTACAAATAAAAAAAAAATTGCTAGTCAACTCTATAAGACCTATTATTAAAATTCCAGCCCCTAAAAATCCTTGAAACTTCCCACGTTACGGGCAGCACCCGTAGCTCCATGGGTAGGGTGCCAGCCACATACAACAAGGCTGGCAGGTTCAAACCTGGCCTGGGACAGCTGAAACAATGACAACTGCAATAACAACAACAGAACAAAATAGCCGGGTGTTGCAGTGGGCACCTGTACTCCCAGCTACTTGGGAGGCTCGGGCAAGAGAACTGCTTAAGCCCAAGAGTTTGAGGTTGCTGTGAGCTGTGACACCACTGTACTCTACCCAGGGCAACAGCTTGAGACTCTGTCTCAAAAAAAGAAAAACTTCCCATGTTATAAATCTGTTACCATTGTAACAAAGTATGCATTAAATTTTATCTATAATACTTAAAAGCAAGTATGCATTTTCTGATTTTCTTGCTACAAGCTTATTATAACAGCTTTCCACAGAAAAACAGAGTATTTGTGCTAAGTGTTCTCAAAATGTATTTAATCTTCCTAAGTAAATAAGCATACGTGTTCTCCCTATTTTATAGGTAAAGAAAACTTAAGTCCAAGTAGCTGGGACTATAGGCACCCACCACAATGCCCAGTTCCTTTTTTGTTGTTATTGTTGCAGTTTTCCTTGTTTTTGCTGGCCCAGGCCGGGTTCAAACCCGACAGCCTCCATGTATGTGGCTAACGTTTAAAACCATTTATCCAAGGGCATACATTTGGAAAAGAGGAGAAATAGTAATCAAACCCAGGTCTCCTAATTCCAAGTTTACTATTATTTTTATTATATTCAATTTCCTTCTCAGAACTGTTTCCCCCCATTACCACAAGTTTAATGACTAAAAACTTACCCTTTAAGTCAAGTCAAATCCTCTAAGTTGTATAACTATTCTGAGAATAACCCTAAAATGCCTATGATTCCTTTAAACTTAAAAGTATAAGAAAACGAACATACAACCTTCCTGTCAAGATTAATCTTGGTGTATTTACTCTTAAGTGTGAATAAACAAGGATGAAGGCTGTGTCTTATATTCAGAACTAGTCAATCGTTAAGAACTCATTTAGGTAATAATTCATTATCAATGTAATTACCAATAAAGTTGTCATTTAAATGTAATATTACTCTTCCAAATTTTCTTTATTATTATCTAATTCTATCTTGCTATTCAAAAACTATTCAGAATTAAGGTTTCCATAAACCAAAGCAGGAATGTGCTACAAAAATTAATTTGAAATAAAGTAAAATGACAAAATTTAACTTCTTAAAATAACACATTTTAGTTTTGTTTTTAAATCTAGTTATGTGCTAAGGAAAAGTTATGCAGTAAAATATCCTCTTTAAAACATTATTTACTTAAGATAATTTGAAACTCAAATCTAAATCTATAATTCGGTTTAAAAAAAGTTAACGTCTTAATTTAAAGATGGAAAACCTAAACTGTTTTCTTAATATGCCAATAGAAACAATCTGAAGAAAACAACTGGTTTCACTTTTAGTAATGTTTCAAACAGTCTCAAACTAAATACTTAACATACAATGACAGCAAAGTTGCTTCAGATAAGGCTTGTTTCTCCAAGTTGCCTAGAATTTAGTGTTTCTACGCCCACAAATTAAACCAGAGTCAAAGGATACAAGGAATTTCCGGCATTTATACTATAACTTCTCCAAAATAAGCCACGTGCCTGTTCTCTGTCTATGGAGGCCACATGGGCCATGCCACCAGGGAAAGATACCAGCTAGGGTCCAGAATACAGTCATACCTCAGGTGCCTTCCAGAAAATGGTGTGGTGTTTGCATAACCCAGGCATCCTCAAACTGCGACCCGTCTAGGACATTTATCTGGCCCACCGGGTGTTTTGGCCACTGCTGCCTATCCTGCTTAGCAGCCGACTCCTCCCGGGCCACAGTGCAGCCCTCCAACAGTCTGAGGGACAGTGAACTGGCCCCTTTTAAAAAGTTTGAGGACCCCTGGCATAACCTATGCACGTACTTCTGTATACTTCAAATCATTTCTAGATTACTTCTAATACCTAAAACAATGTCAATGCTATGTAAATAGTTATACACGCACCATATTTTTATTTGTATTGTTCTTTATTATTGTATTATAATTTTTCCTTTTTTCCCCAAACATTTTCAATTTTCAATTTAATCTGCAGACGTAAAACCTCAGATATGGGGTGCCAACTGTACATAGATTCTTTCTGTGCTTCATCTGCAAAAGATGCCGTCATCCACCCACACTGCCATGGATAGCCCAGGGCTTATACTACAAATCTCATTCCTTTTACAGAAGCTGCAGCGGACTACATTGCCACCTAAATTTTCTTAGTGTCAAAAACTCATTCAACCATCCTTTCCCTTATCTGTGGCTCCCATGCCCAAATAAGGCTGCTTGTGTGTGTATAAGGCAAAAACCAATGGTGCACCCTGTTCACAAGTGATGGTTGCATTCTCTGTAGTGACCACAAGTTCTCACATTTATATTTAACACTGTTCAATATCCCAATTGTTTTTGGGTTTTCAGTATCCTCCTTTCTCAAATTTCATAAGGAAGAAAAAAAGCAGTATCACTTTACCCAATTTGGTATAAAATACTTATACTCCTCCATATTCCATATGTTCAACAACATATAATTCCAAAGTAAGTTGCTAACACTCATAAATTACTTGTAATTTCACCAACATAGCTTCTCACAAAATAGAAACTGAAAATCTTATTTAAATTTAATTTCTAAAATTTTAAAGTTGATTCCTAAAATTTTAAATGATTCCTTTATCGCTTTTAGATATAATTACAAAAGCAACTTAAGTATCCTAAAATAATTAGCTGTTAATTTTTTCTAACATATTCATATGCATATAAAACCTAATTTTCCCAAAGTCAATTAAAAGTGCATTAAAATGGGAAGTTATTTTGATGGATATGTTCAGTATTATCTGTTAACTAAAGGATATATCTTTCTAAGAACTCTGAAATTTATACAGGGGAACTCTGAAATAAATAGCAAATGAAATTAACCACCTTAGTATTATTTCTTCAGAGTAAGTTTATGCAGGATACAATTTTATTTGTTACCATGTCTGCAGTGACATGGTATATTAACTACAAAATATAGAAAACGAAAGAACAGCTGTAGTGGTTTGAGTCAGGAGTTTTCAAATTTTAAAACAACAAAAACTTGTGGTCCATCCTATAAAGATTAGTTCAAGTCTCTGTTATATTTTGTTTAAAACATAGATATCTTTAAACAGATTGAAAAAACAAAAAAGACAAAACATCTGCTGACATTTCCAAAAAGAATACAAAAAAACTACTGTGATGGTATAAATCTCACATAGCTAGAGGAAGAAGAGGAGGAAGATGTGACAGCCAAGCTCCCTTCATATTCTCCTATGTCATCTAATTATTACCCAAATAAAAAATTCATCTATCTCCTTATCAACCAGGACATTTCAATCACTGAAACATTTCTTAAATGTTTAGTGTTCCACAAAAAATTTTGTCAAAGATGAAATCAGCAGCAAAATTTTTCTAGAGCTCTAACCACAGTGCCTTTAAATGTTTTATTTTTGGTATTTACTAAACTTTCTTAGGTTTATTATTTCATTCTTTAAAAATAAAATGTAATTACTTTTTAAAAAGTAAAAAGAAATTATCAGCAGATGTTTTGTCTTTTGTTTTGTACATCTGTTTAAAAACATGTTGTAAATACAACGAAGACTTGAATCCTTAAGTTAGCTTTAGGTTAAATAAATCCTGTCTTATTTCATTCTTATAAAGTAACTAAACTAATGGTATCTTCTTAAGTTTTAAAGTGGTTCTTCTGTGTACTTCATATGCTATGTCAGAAAGTTACACATACTTGTTTCTGAAATGAAAGGTTTTCTTACAACTTTAATGTAACATTATAAAGTTCCAATTGGACAAACTTTACTACCACCACTTC